CACGCAGAAGTGTCACTATATAAATGGCAGGACATATGCAACCTACTTATGGAAAAGTTCAGGGGGAAAAAAAGTCACGTGCGAGGAGCTGAGAACACAGACTGGGCAACATGCCTCCCTCCCCCTCTCCGCTGTCCCTGCAGCTCTCTTGAAAGCTTTACAGAACTTTGTGCTAACTTCAGAACGGGCAGACCAATAATGCCGAATATCTGTGAGGGTTCCTACTAGGGGTGTCAGCTTAACCCTCATTGCCCCCACCAACTGCCTTACTTCTGCGTACCAAGTTTGGTCAAGGCACCAGTTCCGGCTCTAAGTGAAGCTAGTGGTCTGTGATAAAATCCTAAAGCATTAAAGGAGTCGTAAACAAACATTTGGGACTCTGGGGACCTACACCAACTGTTGCATTTCGGTGCTACCATGCGCAAGGTGAGCTATGGTGTCCAGGAATGTCTACTGCACCTTCTGTTACAGCAAACTCAAGGACATCCAGCAAGAGAGGAACAGGTAAGCAAAGATCCATGCACTCTGTAAGAGATGCTCTGAAGTGGGGCAAAGGGAAGCTTCCAGAAGGCCACCAGCCACCAGTGTGTTTGGTGAGGGTTAGTACCCCCATCGCAAGTCAAGGAACACCTATACATCAAATGAACATGGTTTACTACAGGATACAGGACAGAGTAAAAGAGAGCCTGTGCCACTGTAGCATCCGTGTGAAGGTTCTGAATGCTGTTTACGTGTATAGTGAGTACCCGAAAACAATGGCCCAAGGACAGGCAGAATGGTGCCACCAGTGATTGACCCTAGGACAGTCAGAGTAAGGGGCACCACTTGTTTCTTTTTCTAAAGGATCGTGAGCCGTTTTTATGATTTTCAGGAGCCAAACATTTTGTATCCCGAGAACTAAGTTTTCAATGTTCTTTGATGAGATACGATCTCAGTCAAGAATACCAATCAAAGTGGGGTCAGAAGTACTAACAGCCTTTCCTCGGCTATGCTTGTTGTTCAAGGGCTTGGGTTCTTCTAAGTTCTGTGGTTTTCATTTAAAAAAAAAAATAATTAATTAAATCAACAACTCTTTTATTTTTGGAGATAAGGTCAATCCTAAGGCAGTCGTCATCCAGACACAGAGGAAGCAAGATGTGACTGCCTCGCCAAAAAAGGTACCGAGCCACGTGGCTAACACAGACAAGAATTATGGGCTAATATAAGTTATAAGAGTTAATAAGAGAGCCGGGTGGTGGTGGTGGCGCACGCCTTTAATCCCAGCACTTGGGAGGCAGAGGCAGGCAGATCTCTGTGAGTTCGAGGCCATCCTGGTCTACAAGAGCTAGTGCCAGGACAGGCTCCAAAGCCACAGAGAAATCCTATCTTGAAAAACAAACAAACAAACAAAAAAACAAAAAAAATAGTTAATAAGAAGCCTAAGCTAATAGGCAATCAGTTTATAATTAATGTAGTAGATCTCTGTATTTCTTTGGGGCTCAACAGCTGCAGGGCTGGGTAGGACAGAAACTTAGAAACTTTAGTCAACAAATGGTGCCCACGTGGACAATTGCATCCACATAAAGCCTGAGAGAGCTTGGGAAGTAATTCCAGAGAGAAAAAAATAAGTATGGCTTATTGATCTCAGCAGTTCCTTGGGTGGGCTCTCTTTGCTAGAGACAAGCGCATCTCAGTTAAGAGAGGCTTCCTTTACTCAGCTTTAGCTGTGAAACCTTGCAGCTCTTTTAAGAGCCTCTGCTATCAAACACTTAAATGGTGTTTATGAATAGCCCACAGCAGGCTTCTTGGTGGTAGGTAGCAGTGACCTTGAAACTCCAAAGAGTTGGGGCAATAAACTTGGCACCAACCAGTAAATCTGCCTTGAGGCTAGAATCTCAGAAAGCTAAGGAATGGGGTGGATCCAGGGGTCAAACCCAAGGCCATATCACTTAGCAAATTAAAGACTCCTGATCAGAAAAAGAGAGATATACCATAAAGATAGATTCAGATGAAGAAAACCTCTAAATGGTTTACAGTGTGTTTAAAAATATATGTCGCTTGGGAGAGAAAAGAAAAAGGATAAAGTCCTTAAAAAAGAAAGAAAGTAGTTGGGTATGGTGGCACACACCTTTAATCTCAGCACTTGGGAGGAAGAGGCAGGCAGATCTCTGAGTTCAAGGACAGCCTGATCTACAGAATGAGTTCCAGGACAGCAAAAGATACACAGAGAAACCCTGTCTCAAAAAGCCAAAAATTAAAAGTAAAATTAAAAGAAATACAATTTAAAATAAAGCCACATAAAGGTGGAAAACATAGAGAATCTGGATACTGTATGTTATTATGTTCTCTTTGAATTGTTTGAATGCTGAAGAAGGAGCAACAGCTGCTAAAAGACATTAACCAAACATACATATTTTGAAAATGCTTTGACTTCAAAATTTAAGTCAAAAGATACTACTTTGGAGAAGAGATTTTGTTTTTGTTTCCAAAGGAAATGAGAGGCTGTGGAATCATTCTTGGCTAAGAAAAATCAGGTTTGATCAAGGAAGATCCCCACCCCCACCCCAAGAAATCTCCAATAGATGGTTATGGATAATGGTCTGGACAAAAAGCTAAACACAGAATAAAAGATGGTAACAAATGCAAACAGCCATGATATCTTCAAAAGTTTATCAAGAGCTAAGGCAGCGCAGAGGAGGGGCTGAACCAGCAGTTCTCAACCTGTGGGCCGCAAGACATTTCAGAGGGGTCACCTAAGACCATTGGAAAACACCGATGTTTACATTACAATTCATAATGGTGGCAAAGTTACAGTTATGAAGTAGCAACAAAACTAATCTTATGGTTGCAGGGGGGGGGGGTCACCACAACGTGAGGAACCGCGATAAAGAGTCGCAGCATTAGGAAGGCTGGGAACCACTGGTCTCAACTATTGACCTAGCTGTGGCAGTGGGAGGAACAATAATAAACTGCTGAACTTTGGATTGCTGACTACTTTGCTATCTGTTTATGAGCAGGGAAGATGACTAGAGCGGTCTACAGGGTAAATACCTAAGAGCCCAGAGCAACAAGCAGAGGACTGCCGCACAACATGAAGAATTTGATCTCTCCTAGTCAAATGAATCTAGTGAGATTGGAAAAAAAAAAATCTTAATACTAAAATTGGGGACAACTTTCTTTGCAAGCTAAATTATCCTTTCAATTAGGCATGTCGGCTGAAAAATCAGCTCTTTCAGCATTGTCTATAATGCGGACACACATTCAGGACACTTTGTAATCAATCACCAATGACTCTAAAGAGGCTGCTAGCATCATGAGCTAGTCTCAAGTGCCAGTCACAGATGCTCTTTATTTGGGTCTGTTCTTTGCTCAGAAGCAGACCTCCAGGACCCTGGCCAGGGAAACAATCACTTTCTTCCGCCTTTACATTGTAGAAACTCTGTCCTCAGGGGCGAGCGGACTCCAGATATGATGCATAGGAGGAAATATCTTAGCCAAGAACCTCAAGAGTGTAGTTCCTTAACTCTGACGTAGCCTTTCAACATTTCCTGCACGTAGCAGAGCTTGAGACTGTCTGTATGCTGCTTCTCACAGGCACAACACATAGTAGGTGCAGGTTTCTGCCTCTAGGACACTGTTAGCAATGAGACTTTAGGTGTGTCACTTAGCCACGCTTGTCTTAAAATGTATTACCTTAGCAAAGCCTGTGGGTTCATGCCTCTACCCCCAGGCACTCAGGAAGACTGAAAGTTTAAAGCCCGCCTGGGGTACAGAGAGTTCCAAGTGGCACTTAGGGAAACCCTGTCTTAAAGGAAAAAGGAGAGCTGGGGATGTAGGTCAGTGGTAATGCTCTTAACCCAGCCTATCTGAGGTCCTTAAATCAATCCTCTATACCGCCGAAGAAAGAAAAAGAAAACGTATTAGCTTACCAGCCTAAACCTGAACCACTTTATCAGCAAAACACAAACCGTCTCTAACGGTTGTTCCGGGTCAGATATCCACAGGAGTCCCAAGTTCATCCTATTCTTTATAGGTCTGCCACTGGCCCGCTGTGAGTAGCGGGAGCGGGATGAATTACACAGTCTCTGCCCTGGAGTAGACCCTCTGCTGTTCTATAAATCGTGAATTCACAAACAACATTGACAAATGCCAAGAAACAGTCTATAAAATTGAACAAGGAAAGGATGTATATTTCATATGTGTACTGATCTATGTAACAGTCGGGGCGGGTAGCCTACCCAGGAGTCAAGGTTCTGCACTGCCGAACCACGCCTCCCAGCGCAATCAAAGACACCGAGAACCCTCCTCAAGGGACAGGGAGTGATCTCGGATGAGCCAAGGCAAGTTTAAAAACATACAGCAGTTTGTTTTTTCTTCCCCTCGAGCGACGCAGCTGCATCAAGCAGAGAAGCATCGGATTGGCATCGTATGTATGCATTTGGGTCCTTTTTGCAATTACTACTCCGGGTTATAAACAGATCTTGAGCTCCAGGGAGAATTTACTTCCCGGTCCAGACGAGAAAACCAAGTTCCTTATTTTTACTAACAACGCCTTCTCCAATCAACACGCGCCTTCCCTGGGACGAAGGGGCACGCCTCTCCGCGCCACCAGGAGCCTGTGGCCGCTCCTGGGGGCGCCCGGCTTCCGAGCCCCGGGGACAGGGGAAGCTTGTGCGGCGGGAGCTGGGGACTTGAGGCTAGGGATAGCCGGGATCGGGAACAGCGGAGGCCGGGGACTGCCGGGTAGGGAATAGAAGATCCCTGAATAGCTGAGATCAGGATGGGAGGCTAGGGACAGCCAGGGTGGGGACAGCTGAGACCACGATCCGGAGGCCTGGGACTGCAGGGTGGGGACAGTGGAGGCCGGTGACTGTCGGGATGGCGACAGCCAAGTACTGAGGACCACCGAAGCTGGGGACGGCGGAGGCCGAGGACTGCCGGTGCAGGGTACAGCGGAGGCCGGGGATTGCTCGGACAGGGTACAGCGGAGACCGGGGAAGGGGACCCGAGGCTGCACTCACCCACTTTGTCCTTGCCGTACATGTGGCCAGCCACCTGATGCGACAGCGGCACGCAGCCTCCGAGCAGGCGCGGCACTGGCGGGCTGTCTCCGGCGCTCCCCGGCGGCCGCAGGCGCAGCGCAGGGGGCTGGCCACATGTACGGCAAGG